CTAGGAAACCTTATAAATGTGCACCCTTACACATTATGATAATATAAATAAAGGTTCTAAAAAATAACAAAAAATCAATATTTTCATAGATAAATTCACACCTTATTAAACCACTTCCTTTTAAAATTTTGTCTTAATCCAAAATCTATCCATAAGATAAATGAATAACATAATGCACACACTATAAATTGTCATACACCAAGCAAGGACAGAAACATATTCTTAAAACAATATCTTCAACAAAAATTTGCAATTCCATCATGAGCCATCATTAAGGATTTTAATCAAAAATCCAACCTATATCACCATTATATATAGTTCTAACAGTAAAAAATGGCCATTGTTTTTGGGCCACAGCAATACTCACTGAGATTAGCTATCTTGTTGTGATTGGCCCATAATGTTTGGATGCCCTCTGAAGTGGGGAACTTTACATGAGACTGCAGCCCATTGTGGTCTACCACCAATGTATGTAGGTTTGGAAAATTTGAAAGAAACCTGAAATCTTTGCTAAAATTAAGGAAAAGCTAACAGTAGCCTTTGAACTAGAAAGTTTGTGGATTTTCTATAATTAATATACATTTTTAGTGCACTGCCAGTCTTAATTATGATTTAGATAAGGGAACCATTGATAACAGCACTGGTTTTATCTCAACAAACAATACACTATTCCATTTGTGAACTCATAATACAACATTTCAAATATTCATATTCAGTTTCATCCATGGAACCATTACATACTAATACTCATGCATTATATTGATTTAAAATATTAAAAACAATAACTTTAATTCCATATACCAGTACATTTCAACCTTATACATGTAACATGTACAAGTATGTTGGTGTTCACATTTTTCCTTCATTCAAAACTTTAAAGGATATGATATTTTATTATTAGACACATCAAGCATCTCGACAACTGGTCCATGTTGCTTTGTCACCTTTTCTGGCATTTCTTTGAGACCCTTGAAGGCTAAATTAAGGTTTTTCTGGTTTTCCTCTATTGACATTTTTAATATCAGTTATTTATTTTGTGACCTGAGCACTGTAATTTCTCTTGGCCTCCCAGTCTCAGTATAGATGATTTTCATTTCAAAGTGTTACTACATGCTAGCATTTATTGTATCACTCAACTGCCCGAGACTAAAATGAAAAAGAAAACAAAAGCTGATACTGTGCTCGTCAATTACATGTACCGGTACTCGTTTGGTACGTGCACCAGCATGAAAAAACAGATACATAAAAATTGGATGCATATACTTGCTCTGTATTCGTTACAGGCTTTTTGCAAAATAACAACTTTATGTCACTAGTATGCACTGGACAGAACAAAGTTAATGAACCGTACATCACCTGATCTCGTTCCTTGCATATCATCTTTGCCCGAGCCTCGTCTTAAATTTAAATTTACTTGTTGACGGAACAAAGCAACGAGGCCAAAGTTTGGATACTGTCAAAGAAAAAAGGTAGGAAAGTAGAGTAAGGTAATCCAAGATAAGCCATGATGAATATGAGATTTACTATTCACAATTTGATTTTTAACAGTGTTTTATATAGAGGTGATGAGGTATTACCATAAATGCTTCAGTATTTTCTATGTAAATAAAGTCTACTTCTTTATGTTCAGCTATTTGTTTTAAAGAAGGGGATTTTCTTGTTTTTTCAAATCGAGGCGTTGCGACCAACAAAGATGGCGGACGGCGTGCAAACTCAAGCTAGTGAAGTTTTACAATCGATTGCTCGTCATATAAACAGTCTATCCGAGAACAGTAAAATGACTAGAAGAAGAGCGTTGGAAGGTATTCAAAAGGAAACGTTTGGGAGGAAGCCGGAACTAGACAGTGGCGTTTTAGAAGAAGTATTCAGTGATACCTTCAAACATTTACTAAAAATTGTGTCGGACCCAGTGGAAAAATGTAGAGAACTTGGTATTAGTTTGATTCGTGAATATTTCACTTTTGTGCAGGGATCACTGAGTAATTTACCATATTTGATGCCAGTACTTGTGCAACGACTTGGGCAGCAAGAAATAGTCGAACCATCAGAAGAAATCCGCCTTCAGTTGGTAGAAATATGTACATTACTTGTTGAAAAATCCAAAAAGAAAATCGCTCCATATTTGGATGATATGATTAAGATATTGATAAGAACTTTAATGGACCCTTACCCAGAAGTAAAGAAGGAAAGTTGCAAATGTTCAATAATTTTAGCAGAAACCATTCCCGAACATTTCCACATGCAGTCTGAATCTTTGATCAAACCTCTGCTCCAAAATATAATTCACCAACACTCAAAAGTAAGAGTATCAGTCATTGAAGCCATAGGTAAGTGCAAAATATATGATATATTGATATTTGGAAAATTACAAAATGTTATCATAAAAAGACTAGCATCTAAGTTAAAGCAAAAGGAAAGAATTGTTTTTAGGATGCATTTGGTAAGAATTAATACATTATCCTCTCAGTTGTATAGATATAATTATATTACTATGCTGATTACTTTTTTATAATTTCTCACTAGTCACATATTTATTATATGTATAGTGTTTGTGAGGTATTTTGAGCGTTGTAATACGTAGTTGACCCAATTAAGTACTACTAATTGATGTTTATGTATATAACAATATCTACTCACTTTTAATGTGCTATTCATTATTATTGTTCACTACTATTTTTTTTTCATGCTTATTTTTATTTTCTCTTTCTGCAACTTAAGGTGCTGTAATCCAAAACGGCAATAATAAGTCAGTTGAAGATGTGGTCTCTCATTTTGCTCAGAGAATGTTTGACCAGTCCCCACAAGTAAGGAAAGCAGTTACATTGGTTGTTGGCAACTGGTGTCTGCACCTTTTGGATCGATACTCCTTTTTCCCCAAACTGATTCCCCTCCTTCTGACCAGTGTTACAGATGAGTTGCCAGAGATTCGCGAAATGGCTGATTCATTTTGGCATGATACGGGTAAGATTTTGAGTATACTCAAAGAATAAGCTGTCACATATTGTTAGAATGGTGTTTTAAATTTTAATTGTAGTGAATGATAAATTAGATTGTGGATTTCATTTTTGATATAGGTATAGTTTGAATATCTTTTAATAAAGTTTGATAGAAAGATCCTTTAAATTATTGCTTTATAAGCATTTCCCAGTAACTTAAGCTGTTACAGAGGGATGGACATGTCTGATTGCTTTCTGCACAAATAGTGTATATAATGTGTTATATAGTAATATTTTTATTTTGATACATTATGTAGAGCTTTATCTCTGCCAACATAAACCAAATATCCTCTCTAGGTAAGATGTCCGTAGTTGGTGAAGGTTAATGACTTCAAACTGCACGGGCTTATTAGGTTCACTTATTCCTGCATCTTTGAACCTCTCATTTTTAAAAAATCTTGTTATGCATATAAAAATATCCTAATTATGTCCATATGCATGTATTTTAGGTATAAAATATTACAAAGAAAATGAGGAAGAATTAAAAGACAAAGAAGATTTTGCCCAACCGGATCCAGCACATTACCCAAGTGGTGGTAAGCTATCTTATCTGTTGACAGTTTACTGGTCTTTAATGATTTTGATTACAATAAAAGCACTGCTATTTAGAATTAAAGAATTCTGATAGTGAGAAGTATAAAGAGCATGAAGGAGCACAATACTTTTTAAACAAATTGGACTTTAATTTTAACTCATGCTGAATTTTACAAAATTATCTTACCAAAGAATTTAAAATGCAGTTTTGGGGACATTAAAAAGAAGGAATAATTTAAAAAGAAAAGGCACATTTCAGTTCATTTCAATTTTAGTTGAAAGACCAAACCTGGGGTGCAGAACACTAATTTACAGACATCTGTCAAAGATCCTTCCTGCCCTTATTCGAGATATGGGAGACTGGGTTGTTGCTACAAGGATTAAATCAGCTCAGTTGATGACTACACTGATAGTGAATGCAGAGGACTGCATGACTCAACACATGGCAGTTCTGCTGCCAGGTCTTCACAAAGCTTGTTCTGATGAGGAAAAAGAGGTGGTGAAGAATGTAAGTCATTTTAATTTTGTTTATTTGTTATAAGTTGAGGTTTTTATAATTTTATCAGTGTTTAACCCATCAATCCTTATCAATTTAAAATCTCAATACCTAGAAAGATTAAACCAGTAATATGAAAGTTGATTTATTTTCAGCCTATTTTTAATTGACCATATTACTGTATAATAACTATGCTTTGATTTTGTATAATTAAATTTACTTATCCATGTCAAAAAAACAAGTTTATAAGTTATATTGTTTGTTTTTCATTAAATAAAAATTATTATTATTATTATAATCAAATAAAAGGAAACCTTTGTTAAAACCAGCTTCCATGTAACAATAGAAAGAGCTGGAGGTTATTAACTGATTGTAAAAACTTAAACATCCATTTTCAGTTTCATTCTACTATAATTGGTTCTTTGTTTATTTTGATTACAGGTTGGTAGGGCTGCTGAGTTGGTAGGTTACTTTGTAGAGCCTGAAGTCTGGTGTAAGCTGGTCTTGGGGGCTATCAAGAGTTCACCAGGCTATGGTCAACTGATGGTTCTTGCTAACATTATCAGAGGTTCACAAAGGGAGCTGCTGAAACCAAAGCTGGAGGACATCTGCAGTGTGTTGTCACATCCTGATACCTGTAGAACTGTACAGGTAATGGTTTTATATAAAGGGAAGATGTTAAAACTCCCATGCCTTGTGTTCTTAAAAAAGTGCTGTTTTCCTTAATTTAGCAGGTTATGCACCACTTATGGGACTTGTACATGAGCATATTCTGTAACTATTTAATTAATTATGTGTTAGTTTATTTATTTACGATTTTAACAATTATTAAAGCACGTATAACAATTATTTTAATTTGATTGTATTATCTTTGATCACATGTATACCACATTTCAATAAGGAAAATGGAATACTGGTCATAAGTATTTGTGCAAGTAAATTTTACAATGATGCCAAATTCTCTTAATGAAGTTATTTTTTGATGGAAAAGTATAGTATATTGAACCATCTGACATTATCATTTTTTCTACAGACTGAAGTCCAGTCCCAGTTGCTGTCCTGTGTGTTGTCCATCTCTCAGGTTTGTCAGGAGGACTGTCCACCACATGGTCAGCAGTTGTTTACAGTGCTGGTCACATTGCTGGCTTTGACCAATGATGATAGCATAAGATCTCAGGTAGGTTTAATTGCTTACTGTAGAAAGTCTGTTTTAATCTTTTTCTGATTTCCCTCAGCTGTATTTTTAATTTACAGAAAATTGGATAGAAATATTTTTAAAATAAACTTGTTTAAAATAAACATGGACTGTTTAAAAAGATGAACATGTAGTTAGGTTGATGCATTTGAAGTATACAGAGCAGACATATCAGAATGTGTCACAAAAAGATTTTGAAGAAGTTTGTGTTGATTTTTATTGTATGGCGCATTATTATATCTAACAGGAAGATTTTGTTACTCTAATTTTAATTAGCAAAACATTGATCTTTTTGTTGGATCTTGGTGATAATATTGATTCTTTCCCCTAGATGAGAGCTGTTTTGGATATCCTTGCAAAAACCCATGGTCTGTCATCAGGCCAAGATTTATACAGCCTGTACACAAAGCCTCTCCTTGATACATTCCAAGATAACTATGCAATGTGGAATAACTTCTCTGTGGAGAGAGCAATATTTGATGCTTTGCTGGTCGAATCAGGTATAGTACTTTGTTTCACAATAAAATTAGATGGAAAGGTGTGCCTCTGTTGTTGAATCTTTAAGAAATTTTCCAAATTCCAGCAATTTTTTTAGTTATAAATATTTTCTTAATAACTGTTTTGCAATGGAACTACCTTTCATCATAATTTAAGTGTAACAATTTGTGATTTAACAATAGTTTTGCAATTTTTGTAAATTCTTCAGCATCAGAAAATAACTAATGTAACATCTTTCTACTTCTGACCCAAAAGAAAATTTGACATCTGTCTGTTTGTGAATATACTCACATATTTCAATATTATTATAGGCCCAGTTGTAGGAGAGCTTTTAGAAGATGTCATCCCAATCATGGTTGCCAATCTCAACCCAGAAAAAGACCCAGAGATTCGACTCAAATTTTTCTCCTTGCTCTCCCGGCTGATGCTGAATGCGGCAGGCACTCTGGACTCCCAGCAGAGATTTGGTGACTTTGCAGTCACTGTGGTCAAGGATATGGTGATTCCTAACTGTGTTTGGAAGGCTGGGAGGATAGCAAGTGCAGTCAGAAAAACTGCTGTGTCATGTCTTTGGGCTTTGCTGAAGAGTGGGGTGTTACCCAAGGAAAAGGTATTCGGGATTTATTTTGTTTGGAAATTTTCAAAATAGAATCTGAAATCCCACCACCATAGAACGAAAGAATTTATCTGTAACCTCATAGATTTTGATGGAAGTCAGTCAATAAAATATTTTAAGAAAATATTTCTATTATTTTGTATTATTTTCCTTTTCTGATTTTTTCTAAAAATGGAAAAGGCTAAATGCATTGGTGAAATTTTAAGAATGATACCTGATGTTAGGATTTTCAGTCTTCATTTTGATTTTTTTTTTTCATATGGTTTAAATGTGATGAGAAATTGCAAACTATGTTTTCAGGATTTTCAGTTTTTACAAGTTTCACTCATGTATATGATAATCATATTGAAGCAGGCAGCTATTGCAGTGGGGTGAATGTATTTTCTGCTATTATCAGGTGGTCACAGTGATGGAGGAGGTCCTGACACAAGTGGTCTCTACTCTAGATGATGATGATAAATCTACCCGTCTCATCACCTGTCGGGTTTTGATGCACCTTTTCAACCTCCTGGGGACAAGCATCGACCAAGACCGCCTGCACAACATCTCCCCAGAGCTCATCAAGAGGCTGGACGACAGTAGCGATGATATACGTGTAGCCGTTTCCAAGACATTCCTTTCTATGCTAGATTGCTTTGAGAAGCCTTACAATGTGGATTTATACAGGGCACACCTTGAGTTCATGTTTAAAGGATTACTGGTGCACTTAGATGACCCTGAAGCAAATATCCAGGAAGCTGTTTTAGGTGAGGATGTTAAAATTGTTGTAAAGAAGTAATTTTTCAGAAATGGGGGTCTTGACGTCCATAAACTGTAAGTTGTGTTTGAACAGTTTTGCAGTAAACTCTAAAACATGGTGTTTGGCCTGTGGTGCTGTATAAAGTTATGGAAGTGCTAAATAACATTTTCTCAATAAAGCCTAATGATCCACAGTATTTTGTTTTGAAAACTTTAGTGAGTCAGAAAAAAGAGAGACTTGGTGGGTTATTTTGTTTAAATCATACATAATCAAACAAATATGATATTGTTTGCATGGATATAAATTTAATCTAGTGATGTCATTTAGGAGTATTATATGCACATATTGGTGTCTTAATTGTTTTTAAATTATAATGTATTTCTCTAACATTTCCAGAGGTTTTGATGAAAGCAGCTAGTCTTCAACCAGCAATGCTTGTGAAGGAAATAGAAAGCGTGAAACACAAACACAGGACTCCTAAATATTGTGATGCTCTGATAGAGCACATCCAGACCAATCTTGCAGCTACATAGGAAAAATAATGGACGCTGGGTCTCCATTGATTGTAGTTACAGTGAACCTGCACTTTGAGAAGACTTGTGGAGGGTGTACTGCTCACTAATGACAAAGCTACTTATGAACTGGACAGTCACATCTGACTGACATGGACTGTTTATTTGAAATGGTCTTCTGATTCTTCTGTGCTTGATATAGTTAAGTATGTTTGATTAGTGATATTCACTGGAAACACTTTGCACCATTTGATACAAGCAAGAGTTCTGTGATTCTTATATATTGTCACAGAATCGATACTCTCAATTATCAAAATTGAGTTGAATTTCTTTTCAGTCAATGATATTTTTGAGAGATATTTTGTAAGAGATGAATAAAAATGCTTTGGAAAGTGCTATTGGTGTAGGGTCATCAACTTAGTATTTTGTATACACTGTGATCATAGAAAAATAGTGTAATGGTAGCTCTTAGAAGATGTATTTGAAATTTTTTCAAGTATTTTGTCTTGGGTTTGGACTGATACACCCTGAGCTTCAGAGATAACTTGACACTAACCTCTTTACTATAGCCTATCTTCATCGTGTCAAGTTACCTCTGACGAAAATAGTTTGACCTAGTTTATATAAGCCAATCGAATCCAAGTTTCAAAATTTTTCACCAAAGTTTGGTGAAAACGCTGATTGGTTGACCGTCAATCGGTAATCCTCGGCTGATTCCGCAAGCTCCATACTAACAACAAAGTTATTGTCGAGTGCGGAGACATCCGAGTAGTTCCGAGTGCATAACCGTACACAAA